GAGAGCAAGACTCTGAAGCTTAACCCCTAGTGCTCCAAGTACCTCCTGAGAAGGTATTTGGACCCTCTAGAACTACATAACAGTGTCTCCGTCCTCACCGTACCTCAGAAGCTACTTACTTCTCTGGAGCCGAAGGGAAGCCCAACAGCCCAGCCTCGGCCGAGGTCATGAGCCTCAGCATGTCCATCATCTTGATGAACGTCCTCATCGGCGTCTTAGCCGAGAGCTACAACCGAGGCGCTTCGTGCTACAACCGAGCCGGACACTCGCTTCGTGGACCGGCGCCTTAGGAGCAAGACGTTAGGTCTTGAGGAGATGCAACTGGTGATGAGGATCAGATTATTGCTGGAGAGCCCACAGGGAGATGTCCCCCCCTGGTTTGAAGTAGTTTCGGAGCTTGCAAGTGGGTGATCTACCAGTTGCGACAGGCGGTGCGGGAGGTCTCTTCAAGTGACCAAGAGCACCCAGAACCCCAGCTCGGAGAGGTTGGCAAGTATGGTTTCCAAGTAGCGACATAGCACAAACAACGCGAATTCTCCTGATGCATTCTATGCGTTCTATGTCACTGCGATGACAAAGAGCTGGACAACATTTACCCTGGAAACCCTGTGCCACCCCAAAATCCAACTACCAGGACCCCCGGGCGGGCTGGTGAATGGACACTTATTCATCACAGCTTTAAGGGGCTAAGCCATAGACCTCAACAGGAGGGTCCTAGCCATGAAATGCAATGAATGCTTTTCTGAATACCTTCCTTCATCGGCCCCGTGCACCTTCCACCCCTGGTCGAAGGGTGGGAACACCGAGAACGGCTCTTCCTGCTGGAGCGCTCCCGCTTTTTGTGGCCTGGCCACCATGGAGAGGGCAGGAAATTGTTTGAAAAATGGTGGGCCAGGCCAGGTACGGAAGAGGACCCGGAGCTGCGCGAAGTTGCACACATTGCCATTTTGGATGGCTTGTGCTTCCACATGTTACCACCTGCATATGTTGGTGACTTTGAGTCACGAAATGCTGGAAAGAGACCCCAAACAGGAGACCTGTATATAGAGCCGGGCACTGGTAGAACTGCATGAGGCAGCATGAAATCCAGGATTTCCGACGTTGAGCCAGCTCATCAAAGTTTTTGACACATTTGGGGGTGGATTTAAGACCTCGAGAGCAGATCTTAATTCATTTGACTGGGAGCAATCTTGAATAGACCAGCGTGAGGCTCACCGGCAGTTGTGTTGCCAACGTTCGTTTGGGTCAAAGCCCATAAGTTAGGGGTGAGGCGGATCATAGTTATCGTTCAGACGTATTCAGATTTTGCTTTGCAATGGGCTGCATCCCCTGGCTGTGTGTCGTCCCGTGCTAAGGGCTTAACTTGTAAACACCCCCCCCCCAAAAGAAAGAAGGATCACCGTCTTGCGCCCAGCCCAGCACCAGTCAGTGTCTGGCATTCTTCGGTCCGCCTCACCGGGTCACCTGCGGTCCGCTCCGCCTCACCGGAGGCTGAATCACTTCACCCGCTCCTTCGCCTGGAGTCGCTGCCGCTGCTGCGGCCGGCGGAAGGTCATGGGTGAGGAGGTGGTGGACTACGCCGTGGCCTGAGCAGCTGTGAAGTGACAGTTCTGGTGGCGAATGGACACCCCATTCGCCTCTCACAGACGTGACTAGACACCCTTCAGGGGCCCTGAGCTCAGGGCCCCCTGGTATTTACACGACTTACTTCTTCCTTGTGCCGTGACTGGTGTGAGTTTCAGACAGTCTGTTGTTCTGCGGTCCATTTTCCAGATTCCAATGTCAGTTGAAACATGTCCAGATCTCCATGTTGATTGAAAGGTTCCTTCGCGCAAAACCGATCTGATCAGATCTGGTGTTCAATGGGTTTCGTTTTGACCCATCAGTTGGGTCAACATGCGTCAATGTAGGTCCAGTCACTCCAATCCCATGGAGAAATATTGCTAGTGCTTGCCAGCGGCACGGCGTCTTTTCCTATTCTACAGCTCGAACCCCGAAGATGTCAGGTTTGGTATGCCTATCCTCGAGCGCCCTCGACCTGGGGTGATATCTCGGCGGACTTCGACAGCCACTCGGCGGCGGTCACGAGCTCGGTTCCCCCCCGGCGACGCGGCTCCGGTGCAGAGCCGAGCCTGGCAGAGCCGAGCCGAAGAGCACTTTCGGATGTCATCATTGTGTCATCCTATTCCCAGAACCACGACCTGTCTGCACGCCCAGAGGCCGACGCGCACCACCCCACCACCCCGGCCGCTTCGTCTCTACGGCAGACGGGTCGCGTCTGGACCTGCTCGACCGGCCTGCATGGGCCCCTCTGCGTGGCCTGCCGGACTCGCGGTGGGACCCACCGACCGACCGTCCCGGAAACACAGAGGCATGGATATGAACGTCCACGAGAAGATGTCCGAGCTGCGCCGCGAGATGCGCGAGGGCTTGCAGAAGGTCATCGAGAAGAGTCAGGAGTTTTGTTCTGACTGGTGCAACTGGTGCAACTCACAGATTCCCGAAGTGTGGGGATTCAGCCACCCTCATCCCGTGCACCAATCAGTTTTGAGTCAGCATGTGCAATGTACACCAGCGGTTGTACCAGCGGTCGTGCCAAGAGTTGTTGTTTTCCCATGAACCGCGACGTTTGGCAGAAAGAGTTGGGCCAAAAAACTTAAGGTGGCCCTGAAGGGTCGCAAAAGAAACCACTGCAGGTAAAATTGAACTTTTGTTTGCCGGGGGGGTTCACTACTTATAAGTCACAAAAGTGATGAACCAAGATTGGAACCATTGGACTGCCATTAGGTGGGACAAGGGAAGTGAGCAGTGGCCCTCTTGGAAGGCGATGTTCCTTTGCCAATGGGCGGTCTTTCGCTTCCACGTTTGTTGAACGGAGGGTAGGTTGACACCTGACCAACCTATAGCAACAGGGACTTGCTGAGTTTACAGACCATTCTCTTTATACTAGTATCTCTTTATAGTCTTGACTCCCAGGGTAGTTCCAGGGCATTTGCAATTGCACTGTGCAAAACAATGTTGATTTTTTTTGGAGAAAGGGTTTTACTATGCTTTACTAACCATCGTCCGCTGTTCGTGGTCATGTGTGTGCATGACCAATTGAACACGCTTCTATCACTTGCAATGTATCCGATAGCCACAGCATTCCTTCCGACAAAATTGGTCACATCCAAAAACATGGCCGAAGTGTTTTGCCCGGACACCCAGCTGGGCGACGTTTTCATGCGTTGATTCTCATCAACAATGTGATACCATGATATCATATATACCAGTTCATCATCATCATCATCATCATCATCATCATCATCATCATCATCATCATC